CTCCTTAAACCATGCTCTGGAAGGCGCTTGAGGGGAGAGGGGGTTGCAGTCTGGGTGGTGCTGTGGGCTGACTTCCCGAACCCCACCCCTTTTGCCCGAGGCCCTGCCCTCTCCAGGCACGTGGAGCCTCCCCCCTCTTTGTCCAAGAGGCTGGCAAGGCTGTCGGCTCTCCTGAGCGCCGCCAGCAGCAAGTGTTGTCTCACGAGGGTCTCAAAGTGGCTTGCGCATGCGAGTTAGGGCAGGAATGAAGCACCGAGACGTTGAATGACTTGACCAGGGCCAAAGAGGAAGTCAGTGGCAGGGCTGGGCTGAGAACCCAGCTCTCCTGAGTGCCAGTTCGTCTTGCTGGGCCTGCTTTTCCTCCCTCAGAGGATGAGATGTGCTTGGAAGGGAGAATTTTCCCCCTTAGCTTGGCTTCCTGGTTTAGGTGCTTTGCAGTACAGTGGCATGGTGCCAGTTCTCCCCCTGGTTCCATGTTACAAGATTCAGACTGTTCTTTCTGATCCTTGGGGAAAGGTTCTTTAGAAGGAGGCTGGGACCTGATTGTTTTACAGTCAGCTGCACCCAAAGCCTCCTTTGACCTTGTAGTGTAATCAGCAGCCCCTTCTGCCCAGAATTAGTGGGAGCCTGGGCAGGTCACATTAGAGTACTCAGGCTGGATAGCAGAGAGGGGTGCTATCCGGGCAGCGGGCTCGCCGGGACTCCTAGCACAGAGCAGCTACAGCCACTTGACAGCTGGCTGCTCTCTGCTCTGGACACTGGGGAGGGAGGAGGCTTTGCTTGCTGCCCCTGCGCCCCAGCAAAATCTCTCAGCTTCCAGTTTCCGGTCGATAGGAGCTGAGAAATTTAGCTGGGGGCGTGAGACACCTAGGTAAGTGTCTCCAAGGCAGACCCTGCCTCTGGCACCCCATCCCCTCTTTTCCCCCCAACTTACGTGCCCCAGGTCACCATCCAAACCGTCTGCACGCCCTCTCCCCACCTCCTCCATGTCCCAGGTCACAACCGTCTCCTTCACCCAAACTCCTTCTCAGACCCCACACCGCCTCCTGTACCCCAGTCCTCTACCCAGGCTCCCCTTCTGCACCAGACCCTCCACCCCCCCCATAGAAGTGCGGCCCTTGACCACTTACCAAAATCTTGGAGTGCCCCACCCCCCCTAAAAATTATTGCTCAGCCCTGCTGTGTAGTCATTCTGGGAGCCCAAGAAAACCACATGGTCTGTGTCTGGCCACCGCCTAAAAGTGTAAGTGTAAGTGTGTGTGTGTGTGTGTGTGTGAGTACACACTAATAATCTATATAAAATATTATTTTCCTCCTTTGCACTACACGACAGGCAGTCAAGAGCTTATGCCCCCCACCCTCTGGAAAAGCTGGAATTCTCCCACGGCAGCCTGTGCCGTTGGCCAGAGGTTTTGCGAGCCGCCCTGCCGATGCGGTGGGAACGCTGCGTCCCGCCTCCGCACGAGGCTGATGAAAAGCGATTGGGCTGCAGGGCCCGATTAGCGTTCACACAACATCTGGCCTCCATTAAAAACCTAAATCCAGGTATAAGCTCGTCAGAGAGCACGGGACCCGCTCTCCATAATTAGCATGCCCAGAGCCCCACTTTGCTACACGCTCATCCGTCTTGCAGGCTCCAAACCGTCAGCAGCTAATTTCAAAAAAGCATTTTCCTGGCAGAAAACTGCTCCCGGGGCCTGTAATCAAAGGAGAGCTAACGAGAGCCAGCCCGCTTTGCTGGGGCGTTGGGTTGGCGGCTGCGCTCTGTGGGCTGTTGTGCAATGCAGTGAACGGGGGAGCAGTGCTGCTCCTAATTTGGCTGTTAAGCTGCCTCCCATGGGACAATATTACTGTCCTCCAGCTTTGCCCCCTGTGGAACACTGCAGCCCGGAGGCTTCTGGTTACCACGTTTTCTGCTTCAGCCGTCCCAGTTGTCCAACTTTACCAGGCCACTTCACTGGGCTCCGCTTTCCCTCGTTCTGATGGCATCAAGCGTATGCACGGGATGGTTACGTTTGATCACAGCTGGGTGGGGCTAACATGCTACTCTCCAGCTCCCTGACTTAGGCCAGGTCTGCACTACAAAACCGGGGCCAGGCCTACACTAAAGGGGAAGGTGGAATCAAGCTACGCAGCTCCAGCTATGTTCATTATGCAGCTGAAGTCGACACACCTTGATTCAGGGAACCCACATCAGGAGGCTGATGGGAGCAAACACTCCCTTCGGCTTCCCTTACTCCTCGCAGGGACAGGAGTACCAGCCAGGATGCCCTCTGAGTTTGATTCAGTGGGTCTTAAGGAGACCTGCTAAATCGAACTCCGGGAGATCGAGTGCAGCAGGGTCCATCTTCTGTGCAGTGAAGGCGTGGCCTGAGTTGCCCCAGTTTGTCGGCACATGGGCACCTCATTAATGACGTCACTCATCCGTGTCTACCCGTGGCTCCTTGCATCGGCACTGTGCGCGCTCACCAGGAGCACTTGTCAATTGAACTGCCAGTATGGGGCCTTGTGGGAGGGCTCCCGAAAGCCAGAACCAATCGCTGTGAGCAGCGCAGTGTGTTTGCTGGTGCTTTGCTACCTAACTGCTTCCGCCTGGCGCTTCGCTGCTCACGGAGGTGGCTGTGTGGAGCAGCCGTGGCGTTTAAGTGTAGGCACGTCCATCGTTCCCTTCATGTAAGCTGCCTTGCGTCCATCTACTCTGGGGCATAGAGTAGGGACGTGAAATCCTCTTTCAGTTAAACAGCATTTAATTGGTTAATTGATTAAATACGGGCAGATGGGGCCGCTCCAGCCTAGCGGCCCTCTCCCCCAACTCCTCCCTCCCCTGCTCCAGCTGGGCTGCTTCCAGCCCCACACAAGGATGCCGGCTCCCAGCCTGTGTGGCTACATTATTCATATAGTTGCAGTTGTGTAACCGAGGTTGACAGCCCGCAGGAGTATAGACACGGTCGGAAGATCGCCTTGGAATGAGCATCCTACAGAGGGCGGGTTTCTCTGTCCCATTTGCCAGATGGGTCTGTCGGAGCTGGATGAGATGGGGGGTGGGAATTGGCTGACAAGCTGGTCTCGTGGCCTAAGGAGGGGGCGCTCTATGGTATGAACATAAATGGACTAGATTCTGCCCTGGAAACTTGAGATTCGGTGTGTGTGCTACCAGCTGCGCCCTCACCTGTGAAATCCGTTGAACGCTGAATTTCTCTGTGGCTTTTTTTCAAAACAATTATAGGACACATGAAATCCGTTGAACGCTGAATTTCTCTGTGGCTTTTTTTTCAAAACTCTTTTGCTCCAACGCAGGTGTGATTTTTTTAAGGCTTCTGGCTTTTGGGCTGTGCTCTACACGGTTTCATAGAATACTAGGACTGGAAGGGACCTCGAGAGGTCATCGACTCCAGTCCCCTGCCCTCATGGCAGGACCAAATACTGTCTAGACCATTCCTGATAGACATTTATCTAACCTGCTCTTAAATATCTCCAGAGATGGGGATTCCACAGCCTCCCTGGGCAATTTATTCCAGTGTTTAACCACCCTGACAGTTAGGAAGTTTTTCCTATTGTCCAACCTAAACCTCCCTTGCTGCAGTTTAAGCCCATTGCTGCTTGTTCTATCCTCAGAGGCCAAGATGAACAAGTTTTCTCCCTCCTCCTTATGACACCCTTTTAGGTACCTGAAAACGGCTCTCATGTCCCCCCTCAATCTTCTCTTTTCTAAACTATTCTTTGCAATGGTTGTCTTCACTAAGGCCCCAAAGCAGCAAAATGCACGCTTAGTGTTAAGCACATGAGTATTCCATTGATTGATGCGTGCGTTGATAGTTGTCTCCTTAAGCAAGCCTTTGTCTTGCTTGCTACTGTGTATGCCAAAGGGGGAACACACATGGAGGCGCCGACGGTGGCTTGTTCCAGATTAGCTCCCCAAAAACCAGAAGGCAAATTGGGTGGCCAGTGAGCTAACGAACGGCCGAGGACTGGAGCGGCTCGGAAAATGGCAGGAACTTTCTCTAAGAAATATTGACGGAGATGAACAATTGTTTTCTTCCAAAACACAAGGAAGGTGAGAGAATCTCTCTTACTGGGCCAGCTGCTGTCAGTGACAGAGTAGAAGATAGCATCTCATCTCTCGACTGGCCTGCGACCAGCCAGGCTGCATCAGCGCGGCAGAACAGAGTCTTGGTTAGTAGCCAGGGAAACGGAAGTGATGGGATTCCACCCTAGCTCCGCCACAACCCGAGGCTCCGCCCACAATCCCCAAATTTGGGGGTGGAGCTGGAGTTTTGTTTCCTTTCGCTGGCCAAGCCCCTGTCCTGTTTCAGTGATGCAGAAATGCAAAGCGCATGGGCCCCGATGAGGTACAATCCCATTTCATCAGTTAACCCATAAAGCGGGATCCCGCGGGGGAGGGGCTGCTGCTCCCAGCCCCCCGGAGCTGCCAGGTGC